CGATTTTTTTTATGAAAGAGGAAGGCGCGTGTACTAATTGTTCATTTCGAACTCGCCTGCTGTTGACGAGATGCCACCGCGCTTCATCGGTCCTGAACCAAACCCCGTCCCCAACATGGCAAATGAATTTTCTGAAAATTGACACAGGATATAATTCTTCCCCATTCTAATAATTTATATATAAGTAAACACTAGGCCAAAAATATATATCATCGTTGGTGTGCACTTCTGATCGGAAAATCGGAAGGTTCCTCTTTCCGATTTCGAGATATTTGGAATTAACAGTTGAAGATTTCTCATTCGATGTCCAGTTGATGTTATTTTATGTTGAAATTTATTATAATGCCAAAAGATGCAAACCATTCAAAACATTACACAGTGTTTGCTAACTTGGCACTAGATCCTTACAAAAAAAATCGTTTGAATGAAGTTTTCAGTTCAGTTTTAGTTCGTTACGATGCTAGCAAGAAACGTGTCCTGCGCTAAGCCGGGACCGTCTCAGCAAACTGCCAGTGTCCCAACCGTCTTAGGTGCCGCCGCCGCTCATTTGTTAGACCCGCCTCCGCAGACCTGCGAGGTCTGCTCTCTGTGCTATGGGGTTTACTGTAAATCTTGAGGGGTCTGCTGGTAATTCTTAGGGGTCTGCTGTGGAAGCTAAGGGGTCTGCTGTGTATGCTAAGGAGCCTACTGTATGTTCTAAAGGGTCTGCTCTATAACCATTTAGTCTGCTGTATACCGGTATTCTAAAAGGTCTGCTGTATATTCTAAAAGATCTATTGTAGGTCTAATATACATTCTAAAGGGTCTGCTCTATAATCATTGAGTCGTCTGTATATTCTAAAAGGTCTGCTGTATATTCTAAGGGATCTGCTGTATCATCATTATATTAATCATTATCGCCCTAAGCTCTCTAATAATAATACGCTTTATTATCATTATGCGTGCGAATATCTCATGCGACGATAGCGTTAATCTTGCCCCCTGTTGGGACCTGTCACTCAGACACACTTTATTTCTCGCGAGAATTTTCCACGCTTCCTCCTCGCGTTTATAGACATTATTCGGTATATCATTTTTGAACTGGATAACTGCGTGTATTTGATGCGTCGTTAAATTGAAGCTGTCAGATCTGATTTTTATTCAGCGCGGGAAAATCTCCCTCCCTGCTGCGGGCTTCACTCTTTACCAGCACCGCGTGATGAGCTCGCGTGTTGTTTGCATTCCGACACACGCAAAATTGAATGGGTCATGCAGCGAACGTCGCTCTGAACGCTCCCTTGCCGGGGCCAGTGGGTCAGGATGACTGAAGATGAAGAATGCATCAATATTTGGACGAAGTCTCTCTGATTTCTCTGAGTGCAGGAAAATTTGGTTCCTGTGTCGCCGCGCAGCTTTGCATGGATTACCCTTGGACGTGTCTCGGCAGATCGCGGGCTATCATTGGTCTATACGAAATATGGCGGGCTATCATTGGATGATATGAAATGATTTGCCACAGATAAGACTTCATTGGGTGATGATGAGATATTAGTTTTGGATGATATAAGATGATCTAAGAAAAATAGGTCTTCACTGGCTGATGCTAAGACTATCCCGGACGATGATATGGCTTCTTTGGCTGTTGATATGAATTTATTGGCCGATGGTAGGACTTCGTTAGTCGATTACATGTTGTCATTTACCAAGGATTATCAGTGGCTGATGAAATAACCTGAATAAGTTCAACATTGCCTAGTGGTGTCCGTATGGTGCAGTGTTGTGGCCGTATGGTGCAGTGGTTGTGGCCGCGTGGTGCAGTGGTTGTGGCCACGTGGTGCAGTGGTTGTGGGCGCGTGGTGCAGTGGTTGTGGCAACGTGGTGCAGTGGTTGTGGCCGCGTGGTGCAGTGGTTGTGGCCGCGTGGTGCAGTGGTTGTGGCCGCGTGGTGCGGTGGTTGTGGCCGCGTAGTGCGGTGGTTGTGGCCGCGTGGTGCAGTGGTTGAGTCCAGTTCACCACGAATAGATGAGCCGTCAACACGCACGACGACTATCGATCCTTCAGAGTTGCGGCGTCTGCCACCGCTGCAGTTACTGCCTTGCTGCATGAACAGTTGCAGTTACTGTCTTGCTGCAGCAACAGTTGTAGTTACTACCTTGATGCAGCTGGGTCCGCTATACTGCAGTTTCTGCTTATTGCGTCGTGATTGCTGCCACACTTCCGAGCAGTTACTACCTTATACTGCTGCTGGGTTTACTGCTGTTACAGCCGTGCCGATGCTCTTAGCTTCAAGGCTACAGTCGAAACTCGCCGAGGCAGATTGAATATTATCGAACCTGTTCTGAGGGCTGTTGTTTCATTTTTCATTCGATCATGTTCGTCTCATATAAATATCATCATTTGTTGATAACATTTAATGTTAATGTTGATGATCATATCATCATTTAATTTTATTTTTTATTATTTCCCCTTAGCCTCGTTTATTTCTTTGTGTATTCTTAGTCAGTTGACGTGCTGATCCTGGTGCAAATTGTGGACCTGCTGAACCTGTCGAGAATTATTGGCGCAATTGTTGTCTTGCGGATGGTCGATAATATGCCTACCGTAGCCGGCCAAGTCTTTATGGACTTCGGCGGCCATCGGCAAGTGAAGCTCAGGAGACTCTGGCGCTATAATTTTATTGCCGTCGGGTTTGTTGACGGCGTTTCTGCCGTATTTCTTTCTCTGCGATCGAGGGGCAGGCGCAGTACGGTAATTATCAGCGACGACCTGAGGCCTTATTATATCAAAAGTCCAGTACACGCAGCGGCCGATTTCTCGTCTGTGATTGGTGGGTTCACTCGTCAGGGATTGGCAGCTAGACGGAGGTACAAACTTATGAGAATTTTTGATAGTGCGGTCCCAGAGGCGGTGCTCGTCGTGCTGCATTCGTATAGCCAAGCCTCTGCAAGTTGCACATTCTTATATATCTACTCCTCTGGACCGCTGTGCTGCTTGATTGTTACTTTGAATACATTTGGGTATCAATTAAGTTTGATATCACTTGGTGTATAAGTGATTTTTCTTGTTCCCCTGTTCATGATTAATTAGATGATCAGTAAGTCGAAATTTCGTGAATTATTAATTATTCAAGAAATATGAACATTGAATAATGAATTTTCATGATGATAAGGCGCATTTAGTTTGCCTGATATTAAGTGTACTTAAAACTTATAAGTTATAAGTTTGTTATAATCGCATATAAGGCGTACATATGTCATTTCCATGTGTACAGTTACTGCGCGATACTGAAGAACGGTTCGGTATTGCAAGTAAGTATACCACACTCATGGGCAACGCTTCATTGCCACTGAAGCTTCTCGTAGTGCGAACCATAAATTCTGTAAACGTTAAATTATCCACTTTTTTCAAGTTACAGATATTATTTTACTATTTTGTTTCAGTCAAATTTTCAAGGGGGATATTTTCAATGATTTCGAAATTGGGTTTTCAGATAAGATAACAAATTTGTGTTCAAAAGTCAAATTAAGACATTGACTTTAAAAATTGTCGATGAAGACATACCATAGCTGCAGCTTCTGTGAAATCCTGCAATTTTTCGCGTACTTTTTTTTCTCCGTACATCGTACAACAAGTAGATAAATAGATGCAGGTGAGTAGATGCATGTAATAAGATGCATGTAAGTAGATGTAATTGAGTAGTGCAGTTAAATAGAGCAAGTTGAGTAGAGGCAGTTGAGTAGAGGCAGTTGCTGTCTCTTATACACATCTAGAGATGTGTATAAGAGACAGGAGTAGAGGCAGTTGAGTGGAGGCAGTTGAGTAGAGGCAGTTGAATAGAGGCAGTTGAGTAGAGGCAGTTGAGTAGAGGCAGTTGAGTAGAGGCAGTTGAGTGGAGGCAGTTGAGTAGAGGCAGTTGAGTGGAGGCAGTTGAGTAGAGGCAGTTGAGTAGAGGCAGTTGAGTAGAGGCAGTTGAGTAGAGGCAGTTGGGTAAAGGCAGTTAAGCAGATGGAGGTAAGTATATTCGTTGCATAGAAGGCCGTGTTTCTAAGCGCATCCTTCACTGCTGCAGCAAGAGATCGAAGCTTGCGAATAAATGACCGCGTTTTTTTGCACCGCATTGGCGCGTTAACGAGGCGTTACTCGTGTCAATGGCTCTCATTTGTGCAAATCGCCACTTAGGTTTTGATGAGATAAAAACTCTCGCCATGTTTTCAGTTCCGATCATTTGGAGCGATGACGCTTTTTGTTTCGACTCTCTTGGTCGAATAGTTGGAGTCTTGTGAGTATAGTAAAGGTGGAATAATTGAGTTATAAAGTAAAAGCTAGATATGGGACGAACGTAGTGTGCTCAGAAATGAGCTGGAAAGGAAAATAGGCTTAAGAAATTGAGATTTGAAGAATGAGTGGTGATGAGAGTGATAAATAAGGGAAAGGCGGAAGAAGGATAACGAAGAATGTATTAATTGAGGAGGGGCAGGAACTGAAGAGAATGATGAATGCAATTATGAGAGAAGATGTTTTAGAGAGAGTTCAGAGTGGAGGTAGAGAGCAGGTGTTGAGAAAGAGAGCGCGGTGACATGGAGAGAGTGAGAGAGTAGGGCTGGCCACATGTGAGGGGTGAGGGCGGCTGCCTGCCCTCAGTTGTGTCGACCGTGTTCCAGGCGACGGTCATTGGCTGATGTGCTGGTTCCTTCGTCTCCTATTCTCACGTCTTCTGCTCCACAATTGCTCTACTCCATTGCTCTCCCTGGAGCCACTACACCGATGAATGTGTCGGTTTATAAATAATTGTTCTTTACCGTTTAAGCATTGTGTGCTTGCATTGCGCTATGCATCGCAAGTGAGCGAGTGCGTGGTGTTGCACGAACTTCAAAAGGGTGTGCCTGCCGGGCAAAATTTTTCTCTAAGCCCAGGCCTCTATTTTTGATCAATAAATTGGATCAGTCAGGCAGTGACGTAGTGTCGTATTGTATTTTTAATAACCTGATCTAATTTTGTCCGTGTTTTATTTTTGTAGAAAATTTCATGTTGTCCTTACCAAGCCGTCATATCCTGACATCTTTTTTGCCTAGCTGTAAAAGTGTGTGTTCGATAGAGGTTCTATGTATCATAATTACCAAGAAGCTAGTTTTTGTTTAGCTCTTCCTCGAGCATGAAGATATTCCGAGCTCACATCGCCAAGATCTCTACGTAAGGTAGGTGTTGTATATCTTTTCTCATCCTTAAATCCATTCTAGAGGTTGAAGCTAAAATTTAATTGCTTGATAATTAATGAATCTTGTTCAATCGATTGGATTAGTAGGGAAGTCACGTAAAGTCTTGAGTGATATTTCTTTAAATCGATTTGTACAGGAGCTTAACCCCCAGAGTTGAAGAAATACAACTTGAAATTTTAATTTCTAGAAGTTTCTAGAAGTAACTCGGTAAGTTATCCAGACCATGATAAATTCATTATGAGTGAGAGTTCGTTACTTGTGAGAATTACGTTACGCACACTAGTTTATCACTCAATACAATGTACACTCAATGCAATACACTTACAATATAGGTACTTAATTTGAATGAGAATCTCTGAAACTGTTTCGCTCAGGCGCTCCTAAATTCGACGCTTAATTGGGGATTATTCCCACTAAATTTCTAGCTGAAGCTCTTCGAGTTCTATCAGTATAGGTTTTTGTGTATATTATACGTTTGATGTATTAGTTTTGAATGTATGTTACGAAAGACGGACATTCTTAATGACATTTCAGATGATATTTTTCTACTTGAAATTTCTGTACTTACGTGACGGCAACTGCATTGTTATAATTGTCAATTTTAGATTAAAATTAGCCAGTAATCAGCGGGATCAAGCAGTTCTTGGTCCGTTACTCGAGAAACTCTGGCCTATCGACAAATAATAAAATATTTAACTGAAAAGTATTTTGCTTCTCAAAATAGAGCATAGCGAGCACAGCCTGTATTCCAAGGGGAGTAAAGACGTTATTATTTCAACCCTTAAATGTGTAACCTAATCTGAATAGATTAATTAACAATGGTTCCGAAATATTTGTTTTGTTGGTAAGAGGGGCAGATGGCCTTGCGCCGTGCTGGAGACAGACACGACGTGTTGGTAGAAGAACCCTGCCGTGCTGGCTTAGCAGAACTATGCCGTGCTGGCAGCAGAACTATGCCGTGCTGGCAGCAGAACTATGCCGTGCTGGCAGCAGAACTATGCCGTGCTGGCAGCAGAACTATGCCGTGTTGGCAGCAGAACTATGCCGTGCTGGTAGCAGAACTATGCCGTGCTGACAGCAGAACTATGACGTACTGGCAGCATAACTATGCCGTGCTGACAGCAGAACTATGCCGTGCTGGCAGCAGAACTATGCCGTGCTGGCAGCAGAACTATGCCGTGCTGGCAGCAGAACTATGCCGTGCTGACAGCAGAACTTTGCCGTGCTGACAGCAGAACTATGACGTACTGGCAGCAGAACTATGACGTGCTTTAGCCAGTATCTTGGACTGCTCTCCAGTGATCAGGGTTGGCTTGTGCTGAGGGCTGGTCGCTTCCTGGACGGCATCGCGTTACTCGCCCGCCATGATTTGCTGGAGCTTCTTGAGGAACCAGGAACCATTGCGGGCTTCATTGCGGCCACCTCATTGACGATCATCACCGGTGCGTAGTAAGAAATATGGCACGAAATAATAAGTTGTATCCATACTACGAAGTAATGAGTGGTATCCATACTGCGAAGTAATGAGCGGCATCCATGCTACGAAATAATGAGCGGCATCCATGCTACGAAGTAATGAGCGGCATCCATGCTACGAAGTAATGAGCGGCATCCATGCTGCTATATGCTCATTGTGGTATAATGTTGACCGTGATAGTTAGTAACGCAATGCAAATTTTCTGGTAGTATCTTCGTAAAACGATGTGGCATGTAAAGTGGTAAGTTTCTGAATGGTTCATTATTCCATAAGACAATAAGTACGGTATATACATTTCAATTTCAATCATGATTGTTTCCATCATTATTGCATTTATCACGATTGCATTCATCTATGTATTTCGGTGAACCTCCCCTTTTCACTCGCTTGTGCTACTCCTCCAATTGCTCACTTTACCCACTTCATCATTTCGCAAGTTTGTTTTCAATTTTAAAAGGGCATGAATCATTGCACGGCAAATCCTAGGGTTGAACTCAAAGCCCAGACCCTAAAAGTGCAAAGCGCGCTCATTTTTATGTCTTTACTTGCCTGTAAAGAGTCCAATTTACTGGCCTCGCTTCACAGACTCACGACCTAATTGTGTTATTTTTCTTGCGCGCCGCACATGATATTGCAGCGGGCGCTCTGCTGTTGCAGGCCTAATGAGTGCTGCTTCTACTCTAGCAAATGCCAACTGTTTTGCCTGCTCCTTCCACCCGAGGTTCTCAAACTGGACTCGGCTGAATCATTTATGCTGGCTACCGTTATGTGTTTTCCTCTTTGGGGTTTCAGCTGAAGCTGGATTTGTAGAACTAATTGCAACTTTTGCATTGTTTTGACAGCGATTCATTGGGTTCAGTAACCGCATTCTCGGAACAAATTGCAGGCTTATGGTAAGTTTAGCCCTGTCGACCTGGAACCAATCATGCGAATAATTGTGGGGCTTAAAATTGTATGCTTCTATTTTGGTAGAGGCATCTGGACCGCATCGGGATCGTCTGTATTGTTTCCTGCCTCTGTTGCATTCCTATCTTACTCACCCTGCTGTTGAATCTAAGTTTAGTTGATCCAGTTTTCCTTTTCTGCATTTGCTCCTATTAGCTGGACTATAATAGCTACGTACCGCACGTTAAAATGTTCGTTGCAATTGGCCTGATTCTCATACCAATTAAGAAGCGTTTATTTATGTAGTAAATTGGTTAGAGATTTCTTAACTGGTCGTATGGTCTTTTTTATTATATCGGGGTATCACTGATAAAGAAGAAGCTCGATTGTTGCTCAGAATAGAAATTATCAGACGAATCTGTTAGATTTTTACTCAGTCGATATTCGTTGAGATTTTTCATTTTCAGCTCCTTATTCGATGTTTGCCGCGACAATATTTTAATATCCATTGTCAAATGGTGGCCGCGATATTATTTGAAAACCAACACGCAAAGATAAAAGCGTGTTGTGTCATGGAGACGTGCGTACAGACGCTGGAAATAGAAGAGCCAGTCCGACACATAAGCTCGGCTTGTCACTTGTGGCGCTACATGCTGAGCTGGCTTGCCTTCAGTGTCGGACGATCTCGTCAAATTTGCCGCAGATTGGAGGTTCCTAGTTCAGTAATGAAGATGAATTGCTAGTTGTACCTCTCTGCATTGCCTGCTGTTCTTCCTAACTCGCTCGTTGTTATTTGTTAGAAATTAAGATAACATAGATGCTGGCGAGTGAATAAAGTTAAATCAAATCGTAGTTTCGTCGTTTTATGTCAATTTTGTTTATTAACACGAGTAATAAATCGTTAATTTTACAATTTCACTTCTTTAAATGGTTAAATTTGTTGATGTAAATTTATTCATCAATCCATGTATGGACCTTATAAGGCTGAATTTTCTGCAACTGAGTTAGCAGGAACAGGGCATGCGTGAGACGTGAAGTGTTCCAATGCGGCATCGGCAGCAAAGTTTGCGTGGAGAAGAAAGCAGGCGGAGCTCCTGTGTTTGTTTTGCTGCTGTCTCCGAGTTTTCTGTTGTAAATATTTTTCAGGGAGGCTGCTTATTTCTTGAGCGCCTAATGTATTCCATGACAGACGACTCGGGTCATTAGCCTGCAGATGCCGTACTGCAGGATGTGCGCCGCTGCTTCTCATGTTACCCATTTTTTTTTTGCGTTTGCCGTGTGTGACCATGCAGATTTTGCCTCGTAGAAATTATTACCGTGTTGCGCATCCAATATTATTTTCCGAGTTGTTGGAACTGTTATATTTTCTGGAGATTGCAAGTATACCAAGCAAATATAATCAAAGTGAAGTTATTGAGCTTTCGATTTAGTGCTTGATTTTCTGATTTTAAAGTCCAATCCTTTACCAATGCCGTTAACCTTCTTCTTAGAATTTTATTTGAATGAATCCTAATTTATTCATGATGTAGGGTTTATGGGATGTTAACTGAAAGAAAATTACTTACAATGATTTTTGTATTTTGCATTTCGTGCATTTAGTTATTTTGCGCTACTGATGAATCTGGTTTCGGTTGTTTTCTAGCTCCTGTCTGTTGGCTATTAGTGCGCTTAACTTCATATCGTCCAATTTCGGTACGTGGGTGTGAAGTATACAATTTTGAATATCATCTCAAGGAATAAAAACTTGATACGAGCAAGGCTAGGGCAGAAAAACTGCTCTAATTTTTATCCCTGATATTTTGTATTTTTCTTTCTTTAACGAATATTTTGTATCTTGCACTGAGATTCATTTGAACCATCTCCTGAATTATCGGTAGGCCAGGATAAACTTATTCTACATTCCAGGGTGAATTTCAATTTATAAGTAGTAGGTCATAAAGGCTTCTTGTTTATTGCTTGCTAGTCATCTTGGCGTGTCTTTTACTCGTATAGGTAACAGGTAACCCACATACGGAGCCGGCGAATTAAATCAGGCCTAATGTTTCTATTTGATATACTAGCAGCTCAGCCCCGAATTGCTTGTTGCAGACAAAAATTAACATCCGAGAATCCCGTTCTCCATTATTTCGTTTTCGCTAAGTCCATAACGAACTATCGAACTAAGGCACTTCTAATTAAAGAGAGGCCCGCTCAAACCGAGACATCTTAATCTGTTTTGCAAATTTAAGAGGAAGCTCGAACTTTTGTTATTGAATTAAATTTATTCCTACCGAAGTAAAAACCAGATTCAAATTTTTTAATGTAACTCACAAACATCACGAATATACAATAGATAGGAGTATTGCTTTATTTATGCTTGGCTGTATCGCTGGCAATGCGATCAGAACTTTGGATGTTTAAATGTCTTAAAGCTTTATATATGTTGAGCTTTGGGAGTCTTGCAAGCGGCCAGAGGACGTCAGTTAGTGCCATATCTGTGAAGGCGACGAGGTCGTTCGCTCAGTTTTCGCTCTCAAAATCGAGGAGCTTAATTTCTAAAAAGGTTTCGCTCCCGCCTTCCGTTACAACGAAACGCGAGTTTACTCGCGGATTCTATTTCGAATTATCATTACTCGGG